ATTTTGTCCATTCATTCAACTGTGATGTCAAGGGTGTAGCAATTACTATTTGAACATAAATAACACAAGTAAAAAGAATTGAAGAACAATTAGAATTTAATATCTAACATTAAAATTCACTTAAATACCAATTCCTAATTAAAACTACCTAAATATTACTTAGACTATTTTTCAAAACGGTAAAACTAACTGAGTTTACCATTGTTTTAGAAAAGTTATTTCAAGTTTTAACTGTATAAACTGAAAGTTACAGAATGAGATCTCTATTCGAAAACTGCAATCTCTAAAAGAATGATCATTTTGTGAAAACTAAGATACAGGAATTCAATGTCAATTATACCACAAAAATAAAATTATGCAATATATCTGTTAGCCACTTTAAGTTCAGTAAGTGCAAAACCAAAAATTATTGACTTTCTTTTGTAGTTAATCTGAGTTTCAAAAATTTAGAATTTTTTGTTATCAAATTGTAAAACCAAATTTTTTTCAAACGATTCTTTAATAAATTTTTTAACAGAAAAAACAACTTTTACTCTCGTATAATTCTACTCTGCACCACACAAGTTTTTTCATAAACGTACTAAAAATTTTTTTAAATAACAGTCAGAAAAGTAAAGTAGATGAGTAAATATAAAAAGTAAATAATGCAAACAGTTGGAACTAATATTTTGAAAGCCGTCGAAGAATTGTGCTGGAAATGATTTACGAACAAATGAACCAGTGATAAATTTTGAAAGTTTATAGCTAGTTTCTGAGGACAACTTCGGCTGACAAGTTAATAGCTTCAGTAATTATATACACCACTAGGTTGCTCAAAAAAAGTTGACTATTCCCTCAGCAAAAAAGAAAAAAAAGGTAATTAAGCAGAATTTTTTGTAGTGTTTGAGGTCTATAGAATACAATTTTGACATCCTTACACTAACAAGATTACTGAATAATAAGCTACCGATAACAGTTACTGATTTATGTAAAATTAAAAAAAAAAACAAAAGTAGCTTCCTGCTTTTACTGGTATTTTTTTGAAGATAATGTCTGTAAACATTTAGATTTTTTCAATTTTATACAATACCTTTTCAATTCTGTTCTAATTTACAGCTTCTTTTATAAACAAAATTGAAAAAGATTTAACTTTTAAAAAGTGTCTGTGAAACAAGATATTTTTGAATTGAACTATGATCACGATAAATACAAACATTCCATAGCCGATTTGAAGGCTTTCGCTTCAAGACTATAATTTAAAAAAAAATATATAATTTTAAAAACTTTGAAGGTTTAGCATTGCTCACTCTTTCACGGCTAAGTAATTCATTTTAATTATAGCAAATACTTTTGAATTTAAGCTTGAAATCAAAAGACAAAAAATTTTGAAGTTGCTTTTTCTATCAAATTTATGTTTTTCTTTCAAAGTTGTGCCAGTCAGCTAACAAAGATGACGGCAGTTGCCAAAGGTAACTATTCAAAAAGTCCTCAAAAGAATTCAATAAAATTTTAAACTTTATTAAAACTGACTATCAACATTGTAGTATGTATGAATGTTTGATTGATAAATTTTACAGCTTTTACTTCATGTTTAATCAGACAATGCAGCGAAAAACCACTGTACTATTACAATCCAAAAATCTTTTCTATTTGAAGTGATCATTTGAGACAATACAAAAAAAGGTTTTTTTTAATCAGTTTTACAAGTTTAATATACCGTTTGTCTAAACAGTGATACTGCTAATTTGAGTACATTAACACAACTTTATTATCCTTTCTATTTTATTTTAGGCTACGTATGAATTTACTTTAAAAGTTTAATTTTGGATTCAACAATTGAAGTCAAAGTTCTGTATGATCTGATAGCAAGCTTCCTTCTCGTATGTAGTCTGGTGACTTGTAAAGCAAAAATTTCCTCTTTATTGAAACTTTATTTGTAAAATAACTTTGCAAACGCTCCAGTAATGTTTAAAAATAAATATTTTTTGAGAAAGCTGCCAATACTGGCTTAGAAGCTTTTTTTAAAAACTTTTTAAAGATGCTAAATGAAAGCTGAGAAAAAAGTATTATGTATTGATTTAAAAGCGATATAGCATCAAAAAAATGGAGATATTTTAGTTGCTAGGTATTTTGACACATCTAAAAATCTGATCAACCAACTTTTTGGGTCGCTTACAACGATCGTTAGAACAGTGTCTAGTTTAAGCAGTAAAAATTACTATAAACGGCTGATGTCAGTAAAATTTGATGAGCCGACAATATCAGTTCCAAGATTTTTTTGCTTTACCATTCTCTTCATATAAATTTGTTGTCAAATTGAACTGTTCACACAGCATTCTGTTAGAAATTATTCAATATTAACATTTAAAAAATTTTTTTTAGAAGGAACAAATATTTGCTGAAATACAGACAGTCGAAATAGTTGTTGACTAAAGTTATTGTTGTCATATCTGTGAATTATATGTTTTCCAATGTCTAATGCTAATAATGTCTAAACAGTTTAACTATTTGCTTACTACCCATCGTTTAAATAGTTTTTTAATAGCAATGATTTAATAAAATAAGTGACTTGTTTTTGTCATTTGATTTACCACTAAAAATTTGGTCAAAATTTATAAAAGAAAAAAGTGGCTAATTCTCTTTTGTTTAACACTGTTTATGACGTCAATGCTGCATATATTTATCAGAGTTAAAGTTAATAAAAGTTTACATAACTTATCCAATATTCGTTGTCTACAGTTTGCATAATTTTATAAACAAAAAACTGTTTTTGGTTTGATGTTCTGTGAATCACAGATTCAACCCCAGGTTATGAAGTTTTTTTTTGTTCTACCACTGATCTGTTGTCAAGAATTAAAACCGAACGGATCTGCCAATTCAGAGTACCAAAACAGCTTGGCTGAAATTTGAGCCCAACATCAAATGACCTTGCAAATTCAGAAACTTTGTCTATTCTTTTTTTTTATTTCCTATTACGTTATTCTAAATATTAAATTTTTTTTTGCTTTTATCCAAAAAGAAAAGTTCAGGAAAATTTCTTTTTTTGTTTGACAATTAATAAATCATAAATTTTTAAGACAGTGTATTAAAAAGAAAAAAAAAAAGAAGAAAAGAAGAAAAAAAGAAGTGTTTAACATAATTAAAAAAAAATTTTTTTTTTTTCATCAGCAAAACACAAATGTTGAAGCTTGGAAAATAATTTGCCCACAAAGAAAAAAAATTTGCGTAAAAATTTCTGTCTTTTTTTTTCTATAAAAGTATATATATTTTTTACTTTTTATTTTTTTCCGCTTAACGGAACATTTTAATACATCGTTGGTACATTATCATTATTGCAGAAGATTAAGATTCTGTACTTCTTTTCTTTTTTTTTTCCTTGCTAAGCTTATTAGACTTTTACACTCCATTTATTTTTGCTCAATTTCTATTCACAATTTGAAAGCTAATCTTTGAGTTATGGCAAGAGAAAAAAAGGAACTACAAATCCTAATGCTTTTTTACCACATATCCGTCAATGTTTAACAGACGTTTACTGAGATGCTGCGGTATCAGTGTTGCAGAAAGCGCTGCAGGTTTGGCGGTGTTTTGGCTAAAATTGCCATTTGAGAGCTTTTGTTCATAAGTTGAATTCTGAGTAA